TCTAGGCGTTACTGGTAACGCCTTACATAAAGTGTCCTAAATGCCATAAAGACTACTTGATTACAGACCGTTACGATGCAGAGTGGTTCTTGACCTTCTGGTGGTCGAGTGAGTCTTCATGGTCGAGTCCTTCGAGTCCGTCGAGTGAAGTCTCTCTTGGTCGACTGGAAGGTAGTTTCTTCTGAGGGTGACCTTGGGTAGGGTACTTTGATCAGGTCTATGACCCTACCCTAGGTACATGACTTCATCAGCGGGCGCGCGTCTCGAGGCTGCCCCTTCGGCCCCTCCTGGCTCGGCTGCTTTGTCGCCCGCGCGACCGGCTGGTTCTGGGCCTCCCACACCCCCACCTCGCCTGCGTGGTCTTCCCCGCCTACCTCACCTGGGCCGGCCTCTCCTGTGCTCGCCTCGCCCGGCCTCGCTTCTCCGCCTGGGCCGGACTCGCCACCACCTGCATCACCTGCGGCCTTGCCGCCTCAGAGCCCATATCCTGCATCATCGTCTGCCTCTGCTGACGAGGAAGCTGCTGCCCCGCCTCCAGCTCCTCTGGCTCTTCGGCCGCACACACACAGCCGGAGCGGTATACACCAGCCTAAGGTATGGAAAGATGGCACTGTTGCCTGGTGCTGCTTGCTTGGCCCATGCACAGTCTGATCCTACTGCCGAACCTCGACACTATCAAGCAGCGATGAGTATACTTCACTGGCGTGCTGCTATGGACCTCGAGATTAAAGCTCTTCGTCAGAATGGCACCTGGCAGCTGGTCTCTCCCCGTCCAGGTATCAACATCATTGATTCTAAATGGGTTTTTAAGGTCAAACGACATGCGGATGGTTCTATTGAGCGGTACAAGGCTCGTCTCGTTGCTAAGGGCTTCAAGCAACGATATGGTCTTGACTACGAGGATACCTTCAGTCCCGTGGTTAAGACAACCACTATTCGTCTACTTCTGTCGCTTGCTGTCACACGAGGTTGGTCTCTTCGTCAGTTGGACGTTCAGAATGCGTTTCTGCATGGTGTTCTTCAGGAGGAGGTCTACATGCGTCAGCCCCCTGGGTACGTTGACCCTGATCATCCTCAACATCTTTGTCGCTTGGTGAAAGCGCTCTATGGTCTCAAACAGGCGCCCCGTGCTTGGTATGCTCGCCTGGGTTCTGCACTTCGTGCTCATGGATTTGTGCCTTCCACTGCTGATACTTCACTGTTCATTCTTCAGCGACCAGAAGTCACTATGTACATTCTGGTCTATGTTGATGATATCATCCTTGTCAGCTCCTCTGTTGCGGCGACTGATCGTTTGGTTCTGGCTCTCAGTTCTGATTTTGCTGTCAAGGATCTAGGCAAACTTCACTATTTTCTTGGCCTGGAAGTCACATGTGCACCAGATGATCTTGCTCTCTCTCAGCAGAAGTACTCTCAGGATCTCTTGCGGCGTGCTGGCATGTTGGAGTGCAAGGTTGCTACTACTCCCATGTCATCCACTGAGATGATTTCTGCTACTGATGGGACTCTCCTGTCTGCTGATGATGCTACAAAGTACAAAAGCCTTGTTGGAGCTCTTCAGTACCTTACCATCACACGGCCTGATCTTTCATATGCAGTTAATCGTGTCTGCCAGTATCTTCATACCCCTCGAGAGCCTCACATGACTGCTGTCAAGCGTATTCTGTGTTATGTTTGCTCCACAATCTCTTATGGACTTCATCTTCGGTCCGCGCCCTCTAGCATGCTTTCGGTCTTCAGTGATGCAAACTGGGCTGGTAACCCAGATGACCGGCGATCCACGGGGGGATATGCAGTCTTCTCTGGACCTAATCTGATCGCCTGGAGTGCTCGGAAGCAGGCTACAGTTTCTCGGAGTAGCACTGAAGCTGAGTACAAGGCAATTGTTGATGCCACTGCTGAGCTTATTTGGGTCCAGTCCCTCCTTCAAGAATTGAAGATCTCTCATAGTCAGCCTCCTACTCTTTGGTGTCACAACATCAGTGCTACATACCTCTCATCGAATCCGGTATTTCATGCCCGAACGAAACACATCGAAGTTGATTATCATTTTGTGAGAGAACGTGTTGCACAGAAGTTCCTGCAGATCAAGTTCATCTCCTCCAAGGATCAACTTGCTGATATCTTCACCAAACCGTTGTCTCTTCCTTTGTTCATAGGCTGTAGACGCAATCTTAACTTACTGAGTACCTCAGGCCATAGTTAAGATTGAGGGAGGGTGTTAGACTGTATATTGTACGACAACTGTATTTGTATCTGTATTGTACCTCTTGGTACCTTATATAAAGAGATAGGCCACGCACCAGATGCGTTGAGCCAGTTTCCACCAAACCACAGTTTAACACATCCTGGCAGTGTTTTTTAATATTTATCTTGGATAATACTTTGACTGCAAGGTGCTGGAAATATTCCTCGAGTTGAGTTGTAAGCTCTGAATCCAGTCAACTGAGTGGGATTTGGCACTTTGGATCCTAAGCGCAACTCTAATGCGGCGACCCATTTTGTCTGCGCGTCTGTTTGGATCGGCGCAGACAGAAAAGTAGGCCCGACGCTCCGACCCAAACGGACGCGCGTCCATTTTTTTCCGCATGCCAACCCATTCTCGCCCAATTTTGAGCCTCATTTACGTCGGCGCGGACACGAGCCTCATTTTCATATCCATTTGCCAATATGCTTGCATGCATTTCATTTGTAGGCATTTTTCAAGCTTGGAAGGCATTCAAGGTCCAACACTATGGCAAGTCTTTCAACCTCTTCCATTGTTGGAGGGTCATCAAAGACGAGGAGAAGTTCAAGACGCAATATGCCGCCCTCATGGCGCGTGGGGGAAAGAAAGCCGTGGAGGAGGTTGGGGATGGTGAGATGCCACGGACGCGGGGGAAGACCAATTCCAAGAAAGAGGACAAGCGGGATGCGGTGTCCAACACCTTGATTGCTACCGTGGAGGGCATGATGACCAAGAAGGACTCAAGGAAGGAGAAGCGTCGGCAAGACAAGGAAGAGCAAATGAATGCAATCATGGAGATCCAAAGGAGGGGGCTTGAGATGGAGGCAGAGAAGCAAGCGAGGATGCTTGAGATGGAGGCGGAGAAGCAAGCCAAGATGCTAGAGACCGATGCCTGCCAAGACCAAGGCGAAAGAAGTGACTCTCGCTAGCATGATGACAGACGTGGAGATCATGAAGGTGGATTTCAACACTGTGTCGCCGAGGAAGAGGTCGTGGTTCGAGAAGATGCAGGCCAACATGCTCAAGTTCGACGACGAATGATCTATGGCGGTGAGTGTCATCCTTTTTTGTATGCTGGCAAGTGTGCTGGCATGACCACGGCCGTACGAACTCCCGTCCCTTTTTTCTGTGCTAGCATGTGTACCGGCCGCTGGCAAGTGCGCCAGCACGAACTGTGGTGTTTTTTGGAGCTGGCATGGCGCCGCCATGAAATTTGGGCGACGACATGGTCGTTGGCATGACCTACGGCTGCAGACCTTTTTCAAATTTGTGTGTGAACATGAAATGGGTCGCCGGTGTTGGGCGCACTGCCAACCCAAATGTTAAATAGAGCGGACGCCGAGCGGACGGCCGATCCAAACGGACAAAAAAACGGACAAAAGTGCCGTTCGTTTGGGTCGGCAACTTGAAGTTGCTGTAACACGACCACATAGAACTGGAAGTAGAGCCTGAGTGCATGGCCGACTAACTTTTGTTTTGGCGAACAGACCGCCGGAGTGGCTTGGTCAGCTATAGACGATGGCAAAGTGTGTGCAGACCGAGCGACCGAGCTCCTTTTGCTACCGAAGACAAGAATCTTGACTGACCTGACTACCTGAGGCGGGGTGAGAGTTGTGCCTCCGCTAGCCACATCCTACAACGCTTTCGACGGGACAATGGACAGGAGCGTGCCCACACGACACGAACGAGACCCGCGGCTGAGCCAAGGCAGACGGGCGCATGGGCTGCGCGGCGCAGGTGCTCCGGGTCACACAAGCAGTGCATCTCATCTCCCGCTTTGCACGGAATTCCATCTGCCTATCCATATATCCAGATCCAACGGATCGGAAGAGGAGCATGCGGCGGCTGAGCGCCTGCATTGCACGCGTCGGTGCTCGCTGTCCAGCTGGATCTCGGTTGTCGTACCTAGTGCGTTCGTTCGTTCATGAGACCTGCATGGATGGACACGCGACGCCGACGTCCGCCTTTTCGTCCGCAACCTTTTCTCCCGTAAGGAAATGGAGACGTTTAACGTTTGCAACACAAGGCTCCGGTTGATACGGCCGTTCGCGCTAGCTAGTGGGAAAGTCCTTTGTGTGGAAAGACTGCGCACACAAGACACGAAAAGCTGAACTTTCTTATATCGGTCTGGAAGCAAAAGGAGCCTCGGGTTCGGATCAGCGAGCACTACTAGTGATGAGGACTGATGAAGGATAAAAATCCATCACGCACATTAATTGGGACATCCGGCTTCACCAAACATCGGATACTTGTTGCCCGGTCAACCAAGCGACGAGAAATCTTTCATCATCAGTCAGTGAACCAAGCAAAGGCCAGGAAAAGCAACGTGACAGCCATCGGCAGAGCGTCGGACGCACAGAAATGGAGGGAAGGAAACCAGAAACACGGCTGGCAGTAATGGTGATCCATCCGGAACAAGCTACTCTGACCACGAAAGTGCTACAGTACTTACTACTAGTTACTACCCAGTGGAATTTCCAAGAAACAAACAAGCCGGTAGCTGGCTCACGGAAGCAACGGGAAAGCTTCCCACGAGAATAGGTAGCTGTGTGCATGTACACGGCTTCGCGCAACAACAAATCTGACTCGCACACATACACACACGCCACGCCACGGGCACAACACAAACCTCGCTCGCTCTCCCTCACTCTCTGACCCCGGCCCGCTTTTCGCGAGCCCCTTCCGCGCAGAGCACATCGTACTCGAGGGAGTGGAGTGATCAGGGGGGTGCAGCTGGTTCCCGAGACTCACTCGAGCGACCTCTCCATCAGCCATGGCGGCGGCGGCGGCACCGCGTCCATCTTCCCCGCCCCTGAGGACATCCATTGCGCTGCTCCTCCTCGCCCTCGCCCTCTCCGCGCTCGTGCCGTCGTCAGGTAAGGTTTCTTGATTTCCTCTAAAAAAAAAGGGTAAGGGCTCTTGATTTCTCCGAGCTGTTCGTCGATTCATGCGCTGCTCGGGCAAGATCGTCTGGGGGCGAGATGTGGGCTAGTTCTAGGGATCCAAACACGGAGATTTGGGTGACTGGTGCTAAGGGAGGGACCGGATTTGGTCCGCCCTGCTAATTTTGGTAACGGCGATGATTTCTCCTTCCGCCATAATAATGTGATCGTGATGACCAAGACGCGATTTTCGTCCGGGGATGCATTTCCGGGAGGACCTTGTTTAGGGAGCGAGAAATCACATGCCATCGTTCATCTTTACTATTTTTTGCAACCATCGAATGATCTGTTTTCACGTCAATTACAGCCTTCTTTCATCGTAGCCTGAGAGCCTGAATTACAGTCTTCTTTCATCGTAGCCTGAGAGCCTGACTGAAACCGGAAGGGTCTCCTGTTCCCCATCCCACATTTCACTGTGTCCCCAAAAAAGTTTGGAATTGCAACACTTCTAGGCCTCTTGCACCATTAGCTCTTCGTGTTAGAGTTTTTTTTTTTAATTCAAATTGGTTTCGTTCAATTTAGTTTTATCGCTTTTGTAGTTCATGTAGCCGTATAGGTTTGCTCTATATTATGACCAAATGCACTTAACAGAAAGGCTGAGTGGCTGCACACTATTCTGTTTCAACTCAGCGAAAAACCCGCCTTATCGATGGCATCATGATAAAATTGTGACCTCCACTTGGTATGTAAACGACAGTTAGTGGGAGTAAAATGGGTATAGTTTAATCACCAATTTGATAACTTGATAAGTGACAGCTCAAGTTAGTGTTCATTCAGTTTAATTTATTATGGCCCTTGTTCAAAAAAATTCAGTCCAACTTATGGTAACATTAACATGTGATATATATATTTTTTCAAAAAATTTCAGTCCAATTTGAACTTGATAAATGTCTGCTACCATGACATCCGTCATTTTTTGTGGAACCATGCTCCAAGCAATTTTCCTTGGCATTTCGCAGATGCGTATGATTCGCTTGATCCGGTTGGGAACATTACGATCAAGTGGGATGTGAAGAAGTGGAGGGAAGATGGCTACATGGTAAGTAAGCCAGTTCAGTCTGTTCGATGCTAAGACCAATTCGGTGAATGCCCCTATCGCTACACAAGTCCACATCAGCTTTCTCCATTCCTACGTACATGAGCAAATTCCATGAAAAAGAATCTTCCATAGGAAAATAGAATAGATGGTGCACTGATATTGCAATACTGTATGGAGCTGCAGGTCAAAGAGATGCTGAAAAGAAAATGGCACAGAATATCTGGCTTCCCTGATAGTGTTTTCTTTTTCCAACAGGAAAATTGGTCTATCTGGCTGATCTTATAACAATCAAAAGTCATATGACACGATCATTTACCGATTTGTCGCAGCATTTAATTAGGGTTTCTTCGGATGTATTTGCACAACTTATAAGCTGACAACCTCCACAGTCCATACAAAATCTTTTATCCTGTCCACCAATCTTTTCCAAACTGATGACAAATAAGCTGTAAACTCCTTTCTCCTGCAGGCCACCGTTTCACTGTACAACTACCAGCAGTATCGCCACATCCAAGCGCCGGGATGGAAGCTCGGCTGGGTGTGGGCGGGGAAGGAGATAATCTGGAAAATGGCCGGCGCCCAAACCACGGAGCAGGGCGATTGCTCCAGGTTCAGAGAGGAGCCGCCGCCGCACTGCTGCCGGACGGACCCGGAGGTGGTGGACTTCCTTCCGGGGGCATCCTACGACAAGCAGACCCCAAACTGCTGCAAAGGAGGAGTCCTCAGCTCATGGGGACAGGACCCCGCCAACGCCATTGCCACATTCGACGTCAACGTTGGTCGGGCAGGGACTACGAACAGCTCCGTCCAGGTGCCCACAAATTTCACCCTCAAGGCCCCTGGGCCAGGGTACACCTGCGGGCCTGCAAAGGAGGTAGAGCCTACCAAGTTCATTGACAAGGATGGGGATGGGAGGAGGACGACCCAGGCCATCAGTAAGATCCTCATTTTCATCATCTACCACCATTTGATGCATGGTAGTAGTATATTTCAGAAGAAGCTTTTTTTCTTCGAAAAGGAGGATAAAACCCCGGCGAAGCTTTTGAACTTTTCGAGTTCGTGTTCATGATCTTCCTACTTCCTGCCGTGGCAAGAACATTTACTACTTAGCATTTTGGTGATAGCTTGTGTTTCTTTTGTGCAGAGACATGGAATGTGACGTGCACATACTCGCAGTTCGTCGCGGGAAGATCCCCGACGTGCTGCGTTGTGCTCTCGTCGTTTTACAACAGCACCATCGTCGAGTGCAATAAGTGCTCATGTGGCTGCCAAGATAACAGCACAAACCCAGTGAGCTGTATCAGGTAAGTTAAGTTTCATTTGAAACAACAGCAGGAGTCACAATTTTTGTTCGGTTATACAGTATATGTGACGGTTGGGTGTCCTCTTTGGCAGGCCCAACTCACCTTATCTGTCTTCTGTCGTGCCCGGGGATAGCACCAACACCCCGGCACCTCTCGTGAAATGCTCTTCTCATATGTGCCCAATAAGAGTGCAGTGGCACGTCAAGGCTAACTACAAGGACTACTGGAGGGTGAAGATCACGGTGCAAAACTTCAACTACCTGATGAACTACTCGCAGTGGAACCTCGTCGCGCAGCACCCCAACTTCAACAACCTCACCACTATCTTCAGCTTCAGATACAAAGATCTGAACCCTTATGGAACAATAAGTGAGGGCTTTGCTTCAATCATCTTCCCCTGAAAACTTATACATTGTGCAACGTATATTTGTTTGTGTTCCAGCTACTGACAAGTTATTACTTTGTTGTCGCAGACGACACCGGGATGATGTGGGGCATCAAGTACTACAATGACCTGCTCATGACTGCCCAGCATAATGGAAATGTTCAGTCTGAGCTTTTGTTCCGGAAGGACCCGGAGACCTTCACCTTCCAGAAAGGATGGGCGTTTCCGAGGCGAGTGTACTTCAACGGCGAGAACTGCGTGATGCCGCCTCCAGATGCGTACCCATGGCTGCCGAACGATTCTCATCGACTGTCGGCATCACTTACCATTCCATTCATAACCGTTTGGACAGCATTGGCATTCTTGCTGGTTCATGTGTAGTGAAGGTCGGTCCAAGGAGGAATGAATACATTAGATGGAATTGCACAGAGGTTTTCACATGATTATTGAACAAAGGTTTAGAATGACAACTAGCATTGGCTGCCGAACAAAGGTTTAGATGACAACTATCTTGAAGCTCTGGCTGATGGTTGTACATTATTACTGGATGTGCTTTCTTTTTTCTTTTTTGCGGGGATACTTGATGTGCATTCTAACTAAGGCAAGACAGATACTTAACTCAACACAAAACATTTTAATTTGTTAATAAAGAAAAAAACACAATAATGATAGATATTGACTGTACTCCCTCTATTCCTAAGTGTAGTGTGCATATTTTTTGGAAGTCAAACATTGTTTAGTTTGGCCAAGTTTAGTGAGAAACATATCAAAGAAATAATACCAAATAAATACTAGTCCTACTATAAATATATGTTTAATGATGTATCTAATGATATTTATTTATTATTACAGATATTGATATTTTTCCTCTATAATTGTACTCAAAGTTTGGGAAATTTGACTTTTAAAATATTTTATGTGCACTAAACAGATAAGTATAGAACATCTATTTCCATTGTGGATATGAAAAGCACATTCAACTAAAAGAAAAGTATGGTTTTTGGTCCCTCAAGTTCCACAAAAGTATAGACTTGGTCCCTCAGGATTTTTTTGGTATATATTTGGTCCTTCAAGTCTCAAAACAGGATAAGTTTGGTCCAAAACCAGATTTTGAGCACGTTGACCGGTGTTTGGCTGGAATTGACCAGGGTTGACCGATGAAACAGTAAATTTGAAAAAATAAAACAAATTCAAAAAAATCTGAAATTTTGTGACAACCAACATGCTTTTGACTTTACTGTTCATCGTTCAAACCCGGTCAACGTGCTTAAAATCTTGAGGGACCAAGTCTATATTTTTGGGGAATTTGAGGGACCAAAAACATACTTTTCTTTTCATATAAGCATTGCTTTCTATCTTAATATATACACGTAGAGCTCATGCTTCATGCATGCTATCGGAAAGAAGAAAAAAAGCGTATGCCCATGCAAATTGAGGTTATTTGAAATCGGTTTTGCTAAAGCACGTCAGATGTACCCTAAGTATTGCACATCTAAATCCTATGTCATTGATTTACATGAAGATTTGTGCGAAAATTTTCTTTTTCCTTTTCTTTTTCTTTTTATGTTTAAATTGAGCCACTTAGATGTGCAATAACTAGGACACATCTAGATATGCCCTAGACGGACTCATTTGAAATCTCTAATTTACGTCAGCTTCAGTAAAAGATGGATGTGTGCATCGCAGTCGCAATGATGCAAAGGCCAGGGTTAGGGCCAGGGGGGAAGTTCTAGATATTTTTCCGTACTTTGTATCTGGCGTACTTCACCTAATTTCCTCCGCAGTCTTAGGCTTCGGTGGCATTTATCACGCGCTTCTGGGACCCAAGACTCTTGAGGAATCTTTTCCATTCTTTGGTTATGTCTGGAAAGATAGAAATAAAATGACTACAATTTTGAGTATTCACTTAATTTTGTTAGGTCTAGGTGCTTTTCTTCTAGCACTCAAGGCTCTTTATTTTGGCGGTGTATATGATACCTGGGCCCCTTGGGGGGGGGGGGGATGTAAGAAAAATTACCAATTTGACCCTTAGTCCCAGTGTTATATTTGGTTATTTACTAAAATCTCCTTTTGGTGGAGAAGGGTGGATTGTTAGTGTAGATGATTTCAACCTTTTTTCGAAACAACGAAAAAAAAACACCAATGAATAGAAGAAAGTGCTATGGGTCAGAAACGGGAGATGCAAATTCCAACCTGATCGTGTTGCACAGACATATTCCTCTACCGAAAGTTTGATCCTGTCCCCTGCGTGCTCTACTTGAAATGGGGGAAAACTTGCGTTTAATTATATCCAGATCAAAACACCACCGATCTCAATCTTGCTGCCCAAAACGTTCTCCTATTGAGAAACAGTAAGACGCAGCAAGCTACGCCTCTCCACAGCGACTAGGCGTTCCCATCCGTTTGATTCCGACATGCATGGTCTGGATCATCTCTGTCATCCATCAGTCGCTCCTGGCCCGTTTTTACTGCGAACCGCCCCAGTCACCCCGGGCCAACGTTACAGGGCTGCTGCTCCCGACGTTGACCTGTGCGTCTCCTTGTTAAATGGGCCGGTAGGCAAGTGTGGAGGAGCTTCGTTCAGTAGCGTTAGATTTACCAGCCCACGTGCTTTTTTTGTGTGTAGCCCACATCTTGGTCCATGAGTTCATCAAAACAATGGGTTACGCTCAAAAACATATATATCAAAACGCTGGGTGCAATGATCCTCAAAAAAGAAAAAGAAAACGCTGGGTGCAACAGGAGAGGAAACCCACGATGGTACTCTTCCTATGGTGGCTACTCGCCTACTCCGAAAGCCGATCTGGGTGATTAATTTAAATGTCCGCCTATTACAAAATCCTTCTTTCTTGTAATTTACCTATAGTTCAATGCATCAACGAGCTTTTGTTGATCTGCATTGGATTTCTACAACTTAGAAATATTCAAAGTTGATGATAAAGATAAAAGAAGTTTGCTTTTAAACAAATACTGACTCCGTTTTTAAATATATGTCTTTTCAGAGATTTCAATGTAGACTACTTACAGAATAAAATGAGTGAATCTACAACCAAGCGCTGCGTTACACGATTCGGCGGCACTCGCGGATCGGGATTGGTAGGTGGGCCCTACCGCCACACAGCTAGGCGGCATGCAGTGCTAGCCGGTGGGCCCTGCCACCACTCAGCCAGCAGCGCCTGCTATGCTGGACGTGAGCCGTTGCTCTCTCTTCGTTTTCAAGCATCCATCTCCTTGACAATTAAATATACCCCCACTATCGTATCAACGTAACATAATTCAAATTGTTCAAATTATATCAAGCATCTAAAGTATTTTCCACATTCATATCATTACCTTTTGATATTATAAAATTTTATCATTATTCTTCGGGATTGCTAATTTTCATCCGGATGAAAATAATTCGTTTTCATCCGTTTTTCTATCCGTCCGATTCTTGTGTCAAGATTCACGTTTTTCCTTTCCTTTTTCCAGCCTCGGGGGTGTTTTATTCGTTACCGGGCCCGCAACCCCCTGGAGACCCGTTAATCATGGCGGGTCCATGTGCTAACCGGTTTTTATTTTATTTTGAATTTTCTTTTATCTCCTCCGCTGACTTTGTCCGTTTCCCTTCCCCATTTCTAGCAGCGAGATCTTGGAGGCAGAGAGGGGAGAGCCATGGCGATTTTGGCTGGTTAGCTTTGTTAGGCGTCCGGTCCTCCCCTCCCCCCCCCCCACCCCCCTGTTGCTTCTCCTTCAAGCG